GAGTGAGTGATCGTGTGTGCTTCAACTGAAAATAAACAAGGTAAATACCTTAGTACAAAAATACAACAAATATCTTTAAAAATCACAACAACGCATTTAAATTTGTTTCGATGTTTCAAACATCATCATCAGCCATTATAAAAATATAGATTAAATTTACAAAATGATCGGTATATATAACTACGCCTCACAATGAAAATTTATATTCAAATATTCGTTAACTGCTAACTTACTTAAACTAAGCAATTAAGGCAAAGGAACAAACAAAACCAACAGCAAAATAGAACTGTAAACTACAGCAGATAAACTAAGAAATGTAACGATAGACTAACATGCTCAACTTGTTTGTTACGTTCAGGTTTGAACTGTTTCTGAATATAAAATGTCTCCCTTATTTTAAGTTTTAAGAAACCGGGGAAACTTAACTGCGAACCGCTAAACAAGCACTGGCGAAACATGAAGTGGAAACTATTCAATACAATACAATCCCTGAACAAAATGGAGTCCGACCTCTGCACTGACATCGCCATCCTGCGCGTGGTGAAGTTATCACAAACTGCAGGTGGTGAAACCTTCGTGTAGATAAAATTTGCGTTTTCCACCTTTTGGGACTAACATGTAATTTTATCAACTGTGTTTTTTCATGATATTATTATTATCATTATTAATTTGTTTATTTCTGCCAGCTTTTTGGCGTTTGTTATGCCATTTCTCCGGATCTAGACTGACATTTAGTCATGTCCACTTGTCGCAGAAAACAGCACACTTACACTACGTCAGCAACGATATGTCTCCGTAGCATTCAAAGTCGCCTAAAAATCGTCGAATACAATGAAATCAAACACTTCATGCATAGGCCAACACACCGGGCGATAAATCTAGCCTAGACATGAGGGAACTTTAATAGGGAACTTTAATTTAGATTTGACCGTGACTGCGCGTTCGAGATCGAGCGCGAGTACGACTTTTCAATTCTAGTTTGCAGACGTCCCCTTTATCGTGTCACAAACCCGTATCATCCCATGAGCTACCCTAACAAACCTAGATGAAGAGCGAGGGCTCTGGAAACGTCACTGGTTTTAAATTCAAAAATCGTGCTCTTACTCAATATCGTATTTTAATGCATTACATTAGCTGTACTGACTTTGTAAACGTCGATGTACTCATAACAACAACAGCTAACTTTATCTGCATTACCACAAATACATACAGAGTTGCAAAACTGTTGTAATCCCACTTTTCACTACTTAGTAGCGAGGCTACAGCTGTTGATTAATCTCATAGATTAATAAAAACAAAACACTACTAAAAGATCGTCGCTTACCGCGTTAAAATCCTTGCCACCTCATTGATATTTCTCTCACACAAGAAGTTCCACTTTAATAAGCATGATTGAATAAATAGCCCGCATTCCTGTGGCAGCGATGCATAATTTGCATGCTGGTATGTGTAACAAAGGGCAACACTTGCTGTGCCACAGGCTAGAAATGGTAATGTTCAAAAGAATTCAACCGTTTCAACAACAACCGTTGTGGGTTGAAAAGTTTAAATTTTCCCAATGGAACATTTTTCTAACTGCTTTCAATAGTCTACTTTCGATATATTGAAATTCTGTTAGCTTCCTAACGATGCCTAGAGGCACAAATTAGAGAAATGAAAAAACATGCGAAATTTATTGAAAATTTTCTATTGAACACCTAATTAGAAAAAAATTACTATGTTTCACTAGAGTAAGAAATTAAATAGGTAAAAGTATATGAAATCGTCCTTTTTTTCGGTTACCGAAGCTGCTACCTAATTAAGAGAAGTAAGCGATGCCCTTAGCATGTCTTCGTAACATCTTCTTAAGAGAATGATAACTTTCTGGTACTTAAACTAATAGAGTTTTTTTCCTTACAACAACCTTACAGATGCAGCTACACCATTATGACATTAGACATGCAAATTCCTCGCCCGTTCGATTATAAGGGCCTGTTACTTCTTGTCAAAACCTTCAAAGAGCTGACCGGCTAGAATTGTGCACATTTCTTACTGAAAGCCACATTTCTTTATTTCAAGACCTGTGACGAAGAAGAAGCAGCCGATCGACATTGCTATCATGTAAATAAAGAGTACTGGATCGAATCGTTAGTGTTATTACAGCGGTTTTGTAAAGAGCTTCTATATCTGAGAAGCAACAATTTGCTTTTAATATTCATTTGGTTTCATAATGTATTTGCAAACGCAGCGACCTAAATATAATATACAGCAAAATCACGCCAGTTTACTTCTGGGCGTGCGAATAGCCATCTCATTTACGTGCCTGAAGTCGTAAAATTCATATTTGCATTTGTAAGATTCTTTATACGGAAAAGCTGTAATGTGTTTAAAATATTCTAAATTTTGTATCGGCCTCTGATATGCGTAATCCTAGTGATGTTGAAATGGTTGAGTGCGCGAGAAAACCAATAAGTTACTCTTTTAGAGAACAGTTCACAAATGGATTCACTCAAGCTTTTATAGTACACTCAGTTGTGCATTAACATCAGTATAGGTCTTTTATTCAAGTAGGAAATAAGCAGCCAGTTGGATTTAATGGGACCGGTGTCACCGGCTTCATTCACTGCATTTGCATCGCCAGATTTATTTTAAATACGGAATTAATTACTCGTGACAAAGGCTTTATTCTGATCAGACGCTCAAGAAGCTTCAAGTAATCTACTCGCAAACAAAACAGGTGACTGTTACATCGGAGACATCGGAGTCAGAACATGAGAAGAAATTATAATTCTAATGAAAAATAACACGTTGACTTTGGCTCCAATAAGTGCATTTAAAAGTTTAGCTTTAACTGTCTATGGTGATTAGTCTAATACATGACGTAACTACTACATTCCTATGGCATCATCATCAACATCAATTACTAACTTACCGATTTAAAAAATCAGTGGATGATGTATGGGGGGAAATGAGACGACAGGTTCCACAGTAGTTGCCCAAAAAGGGCTGTATCTCTGTATCTTGAGCGGTCGTGGTCGTGGCGTAAAAAAGTATACTTCGCTTCACTTTGCTCAAGTTTCGTCGTATATTTTCATCCACAGTATACGATATAACGCTTAAGGAAAATATGCCATAAACAATATTCCAGAAGAATCGGGAAAATATAAAAATTTCTCTGGAAAGGACCCTACCCTATCGGAAGAGCGGTGTCCTGAAAAAAAAAATCGGTAGTGAAAAAACAAAGATTCCGACTGAAAATATACAGGGAAATAGGTGAGGTCCGTGGGGATTAATCGCAGTTGGGATAGATTACACTGAGATATCATTTGAAGCTTTTCAAGAAACAGATACAGCCCTCTTTGGGCAATTCTGGCTTTAGCCTGTCCCTCTTTAATTAATTTTAAATAGCTCTTAATAGGTAGATGGGAAACGGGATTACCAATACCCAGCATGTCGTCTCATTCCCCCCCACCCACCCCCCCACCCCCTCACCCACAAGTCCAGCCTCAGAAAAGATGGCTCTGAGTTTTCCCAACAGGCTGTCAACCGTTCCGGCAGCTAATCTAGTAGGACAACCGCAAGAGGAGGATGGAGTTTGGCCCTCTTGTGGACAAGAAATCTGATGAACCTTTAGAAGAAACAAAACACAAACCGCGGTGATAAACATGGAACCAAAACGCATGTTAAACAAAGTTAATTTCCTTGACGTTTCGTATGTACAACATAC